TTTTGCATCTATCCCATTGTGTGCCTGCATGTGCTTATGTTGCCATCCACGCGTTAATATGTAGCTGACTGAGTTGAATGCTGCCAAGGATGCTCAAAGCACGGAGCTGGCCGAGCTTTCGGCTCGTGAACAAGCTACTGCGGCACAACTGGCCGAGACACAGGCGGAAGCAACTCAAATGAGGGACAGGGCCGCAGCCTTGGAGCTGGAGATGACCGCGTTGAGCAATACTTGCAGCAATCTTGAGGCTGATTTAGCGGCTCGATCAGCTGAGCTGGAGTCATTGCGTGCAGCACAGGCAGATAGCGCTAGTGCCGAACATGAAGAACTCGAAGCTGCTCGCCAGCAGTTGCAGAAAGAGCAAGAGCGTGGAGCATCGCTCAAGGCCAAAGCAAAGGCATGGCTTGAAGAAAACAAGGCGCTGAAGGACTCTACTCAGAAGCAGGCGCGTGAGCTCGAGGAGGCACACAGCGCCCAGCAGGCAGCCGCCGAACAACTTGCTGCCGTACAACAGCGTGAGCAGCAGTTGCAAGCAGATTTGGAGGAGGCACGTCAACGGCAGGCTGATGTGGAACGAGAGCTGGTCACGATGCAGAACGATCATGGTGAACGAGACGCAGAAACAGCTGATCTGGCTGCCCAGGTACAGGACCTAACCAAGGCCCAAGGCGAAGCGCAGAAAGCATTGAACAAGGTGCAAGAACAGCTGCAAGCCTCGACTTCCGCCGAAGCCGAATGGCGTGCGCAGGTTGAGCAGCTACAGTCAGAATTGACCGCAGCACAGGACCGCGCCGAGCAAGCGGATCAGGCCTACAACGCGCTACAGAATGAACACAACTCGGTGCAAGTGGAGCTCGCCAACCAAAATAGTGCACTGATGGAACTGCGACAGCAGCTTGAGGTACACACTGCCGAGCAAACGAACATGGACGAGGAGCGTGCTCAGCATCTCGCGTTGCGTGAACGCGCTTCGGAGATGGAAACTCGCCTTGGCAAGCTGAGGGAAAAGGCAAAAGGCTGGATCTCTGAGAATAAGGAGAGCAAGCAGCAGTTGGAAAAGTTGACAGGTGTCCTGGCCGCTGCCCAGGCGGAGCGCGACGAGCAGGCCGCACGGTCAACCGAGCTGAGTGAAGCCAAGGAGAAGCTGGAGACGGAGATGCATACTCTACAGGCACGCCTTGCGGCTTTGGAAGAGGATGACAACAACAGCGTATCAGTGCTGCAAGCACAAATGCAGGCGGCCCAGGAGCAGATCAAGACTTTGACTGCCGAAAAGAGCGACTTGGCACATCAACTCGCAGACGTCAGTGCTGAGGCACAAGCAGCCGCTTCAGAGCAGCAGGTAGCAGTGGATCGTGTGACACAACTTGAGGCTGAAATCACCGACGTCCGTCAAAAATTAGAAAGCGAGGTGGCAAACCAGGCGCAACTGGAACAAGAATTGGCGTCCGAACGGGCGATGGTTGCTGCACTACGAGAAGCAGAGGAGGCTGGTGCCAGCACGAATAGCGAGCTAGCGGCGGCGACGACCCAGCTGGCTGAGGTTCAACAAGAGCATCACCGGCTTTTGCAAGAGCAAGCCGAGGGGGCAAAGCGCATTGTGGAGCTGGAGAGCACCCTGCGCGACAACTCTGAGGCATTGCAGGAAGCTCAGGCTCAGGCGACAGCGGCCACGATTGCACAGAATGAGGCGGAAGGCCGTGCAGATGAATTGCAAGCCAAAGTGGATGAAATGATTCAAGAGCTTGCGCGATCGACAGAGGAGGCAGATCGGCTGCAGAAGCTCATTGACAAGTACAAGGTCAAGCTGCGATCAACCTTGGATGATCTCAAGGCTGTGCGGGCTGAGAAAGAGCAGCTCAGCTCACAACTTGCAGAGGTGAGTGGAAGGGAGCTGCTGTTGTCCACCTTCGTGTTAGACTCACGAGCATGTTGTACATGTGTCCCGCGTTGTGCGTTGGTAGAACACTCAAGAGCTTGCAAATCTAGCCTCCTCGGCTGAGACTGCGTCTGGTGAAGCCGTGGCCGAGATGAAGCAAGTGCAGCAGAGGTGCAGTGAGCTACAACAACAAGTTGAAGTGGGTTTCGAGCCCATTTGTGCCGTGCCGATGCGTGTGTTGCATCTCGCCATCTCATGCGGGTATGCCCTATTTAGGAGCGCTCGGCTGCGCTGGCTGTCGCAGAGGCCAACGTACTTGCTGCTCAAGAGCGGGCTGAGGCTACGAAACAGCAAATGTTTGAACAACAACAACAGCTGAGTGAGATGGATGACATGCGAGAGGCTCTTGTGCGGCTTGAGGGTGAGCTAGAGAAGGCACGCGCGGATGCCTCTGCGTCAACCTCGCACGCTGCTGAAGCGAGCGAGAGGCATGAATTGGCGTTGCGTGAGCGCGATCTCACTATTCGCGAGCTTGAGGCGAAGGTATGTCTTTTTTTGGTTGGTTGGTTGGTTGGTATCGATGGGTGCATGACTGCTCCATCATCCTGCCGTTTGTCCTCGAATTACCACCTAAACTGTGGACTGTATGACCCCAAGGCTGCGGAACATGGCGACTTGCAAGCAAATCTGCGCGATCTACGGGTGGAGCTGGAAGACAAGTCACGCCTACAGAATCGGATTGATGAATTGCAGGTGTGTGCATGAGTCCACTCGGCCCAAGGGGTGTGGCCAGGGCTCGCCAGCTTGACAGTGTCAGATGCCTCACACCGATGGTCATGGCTTGAGTTAGCACGCAAGCCAGGAGTTGGCAGAGGCGCATGAGAAGCAAGCTGCCTTGGAGGAGGAGTTGGAAGCTTTACAGGTGTGCACATCTTGCGCGTGCAAGCAAGCATCATTGGGAAGCATCGAGAGCACTCGAGTGCTGCCCTTTCATTTCATTGTCGTGCTGGCTTTGACCTTGACAGGAGGAGACAGCCGAGCTGCGTCAGATTGCAGGTGAATTGGAGCAGGCTCAAGCCACCAACGAGCAGCTTCAAGACGAGGTGCGCAAGCTTAAGGGGTTGAAGATTGCAAACGCCGCCATGGAGCAGCGCGTGCAGCAGCTGCTCGAAGGCCAGACCCAGCTAACGACCGTGCAAGACGAGCTGACAGCCGTGCAAGCGCGCAATTTGGAATTGCAAGCTGAGGTACATATTCCCACACGGACCTGGTTGCTACCTTGATGACTTTGTGTGCTTCATTGACTGCGTTTGCCTTCACCCCAATCTGCTTCCCTTAGCTGGCTGAGGCAGGCGAGCGCACCACAGAAGCGCAAGACGCACATACCAAGATGAAAAACAAGGCAAAATCATTGCTGACGGATCAGAAGCAGCTTAAAGAGCGGATTAGTGAGCTGGAGGCCTCAGCGGAACAGGCAGCCGCGTTGCAGGAGCAGGTACAGCAACTGCAGAGTTCGCTCGAGGTTGTGCAGGGCATGGTTCAGGAGCGGGAGGCGCAGGTTGCCGAGCAGCAAGCAGAGCTTGAGCGCTTGCACAACGCTGCGCCTGCACCCGAGTTGCTGGAGGCACGCGCTCAGCTACAACGGTTGTTGGAGCAACGATTTGAGGTGGAGGGTGCCGCAGACGAGAATGGCAGCGCTTCGGAACGTGCTAGCGAAGCCACCTCCCTCACTGTGTCTCGAGCTGAGCCCGCCGACGATATGAGCGCATCAGACGCCGAGTTGACCGAGCTTTTGCGTCAGGCCAGCGAAGAGATACAACGCGTTCGCAACAAAAAGGTGCCTACGTTTGAGCCCAATCATTCGTCCGCGTTTCGTTGTTTCCATCAGGGTGACAAGTTATCTCACGTTTGGATGATCTTGCTCATGCTCAGATGGCAGCCCAGATTGATGACTTGAAACGACGCTTGAGCCAAAAGGACCACGAAATGCAAGAGGTTGGATTCAAGTTTTTCTGATCAAATGCACGGGCGGGCCCGCTGGCCAGGCGTAGTTTTTCCTTTTTTTTTCCTTCTCTCTCTCTCTCAGATGGAGTGGGGCATGTTGTGTAGGTGGAGGAGGAGCTCGCCCAGCGGATGCGGCAACTGATGCAACTGAGTCCAGAAACCCATCTCAGTCGGGAAGCCCCAGCGTCTGCCGCTGCACCAGTGCCAGTGCCCGTCTCGACAGCAGGGTCGGACTTTGGTTCTGCGCCGTCACCAGCACCGGGTGCCTCTGACGTAGGTTTTTTGTCCTGGCTTCATCGTGACAACTACCGTTTCTCGGTCGCGCGCTCTGCTTGTTTGTCTGTGGCATCGTCCGCTGGTTTGCCTATTGGCTCGCTCTTGTTTTGTCGAGGGGGGCATGAGGGATGCATGGGATGAAAGAGACAGAGGAGGGTATGCCATCGATGGCCAAACTTCTCACCTGCCGATGAATGGATCTAGGCGATGATTGATCGCGTACATGAGTTGGAAGCCCACCAAATGGCTCAAGAACAGCAGCAGGAGTACTTGCGTAACGTTGTGTACAAGTATATGTTGGGGGCACATCAAGAAGAGCTGGCCCGCGTTATCAGCACCATCTTGGAGTTTAATGCGACACAAGAGCGAGAGGTGAGTTTTGTGTCGGGTCGCCAAAGGCTGCCATTTGCCCAACTTGCCTTCCTATGCTTGCCTTCCGCATGAATTATTTTTTGTGTGGTCTTCACATTTTTCTGCTCTGATTGGTATTTCTAGGCTCTCAAGTCAACGCGGCAGCGGAGCGGTGGTCTTTTGTCTCTATTTGGTTAGGACTCGGGTGTCAAAATCGACGCCTGCCTCGCACTGCGGATCAAATGCGTACGTGACTGGGGTGAACGAGAGTGATGCTAAGCAAAAGTTGTGTGGAACGCAATTTTTTTGGAACAATTCATTGATAGATCCTGTTTCTACACAAGTCTAGTTGAAGCGAGATTTTGAGCACCAACTCTTGGGATGATGATATAATTATTTGTTTACTCTCCAATCTGATGCCACGAGTCACCAAGCAGACTGCTTCACTGTCAGCCAGCATGTAAAAGCGGTCTCTCTGCTGCCGTCGTGTTCAGGCCATGTCCTCCTCACTGCCATCCTCATCCTGATCCGCCTCACCGTCGTCGTCTTCTTCATCTTCATCGTCGTCGTCTTCGTCATCCTCGTCATCATCCTCCTCCCCTTCGATGCTCACATGACCGTGGTGGTTTGTACCGGGAATGTTGTCATCATCACCATCGTCTTCATCATCACTACCATCGTCATCGTCATCGTCATCATCATCATCATCATCGCTGCCACTCGCCCTCTCTGTGCCGTCGTCTTCATCGTCATCATCATCATCGTCGTCGTCATCATCATCATCATCATCATCATCATCATCGTTCCCGACGCCCATGTGATCTTGTCGCCTGCGTAGGGAGATTGGGCGGCCCAGCTGGCTTGGCACCTCCAAAAGCTGCTCGGCCAGGTGCTCGTCACTTTCGCTATCATCTTCGCTGAGGTCACCATCGAATGCTGGGACAGAAAATCGACGGATCCACCAGGTTCCATCACGGCTCCCTGTGTCGGCCAAGCCACTGAGTAGCGAGGCTGAGAGGGGGGTTTCCACGGCCGAGGCAGCTTGAGCAGCTTGAGCAGCTTGGGCGGCGGCCGCCAATCGATCGGCACGATCCTGCTGGACCTGGGTTCGATAGGCTTCAAGACGGGTAGCGGCGGCTTGGCTGAGCGCCTTCCATTGTCGGAGCGCTTCTACAAAGGAGGTGCTGGGTTGGCGTGAGCCCTCAGCGGCAGGACCCGAGGTTAAAATGACCCAGGGAGCATCGTTGGCGGGTCCAGCGTTATCCGAGGCATGGCGTCGGCTGATATGGCTTTGCTTGGCGCTGGGGACACGGCGGGCCGGCAGGCGATCTCGGGGAAGAGAGGGCAAGGTGAGGCGGGTGGATTTTGGCATTGGTTTTCTGTTGGCACGCCGGCGCGGCGACAGGGGGGTGGTACTCGAGTTGCTTTCATCAAGGTTGCTGCTGATTTCGTGGTCCCCCAAATCTCCAGAGTCGGCGGCGTCCACGATAAGGGGTGGAGGCTTGGCTCGCTTGGTGCTCTGATGGGCCGCGCCGGTGGCGGTGCGAAGGGAGGCTGCAGCGGGGGCACTGGTCGAATTGGGTGTGGATTTGGAGACGGGCACAGCATGGTTGGTGGGTGGTTCATGAGCTGCGCCGGCACGCGGTTCAGCTTCACGGCGTATGGTTGCAGCTTGGTCATCCAGTCGCCGAGCGACTTGCGGGTCCTCTTGAGCTTGCCAGTACTGGTGAAAGTAGGTAAAGGTGGTTTCAAAGTAGTTGGCCAAGATGTTTGGGGCAGAGTTGTTGTGGGCCCGGATCCATAGGCAGAGACGTTCGGTGGCGTGTCGGAGAGCCAGGCGAGCGGGCTTGGAGAGGATAGCATCGTGCGCGCTTTGACCCAGGCAAGAGGTGGTGGGGTCGAGACCGTGCAGCAGACTGCCAATCACGTGAACGGCTTGACGAGGAGACTCTGTTCCAAACCCTTTGGCCGCACCAAAGGCCAGCTCCTGTGCAAGGAGTTGCAAGCGATGTTCTTCTACGGTGGCGGCGGCCTCCTTGTCGCTAGCCCCAAAGAAGTGGGCGAGGTGGGGCACAAGGCGCGCACCGAGATCTTCAGCTTGCTGCTGCAGCCTTCCAGAGCGAACGTTTGCAGTCATGACTGCAGTGCCGGTTGGGTAGAGGCAAAGCTGTGTTCGTTACCAAGCGGCCCACACCACCACAGACCCAAGGCAGCTCAAGCAATATCCATCAGAGGCATTGAGCACCGACACAGTTGAAGCAGCAAAGCCTGGGACCGGGTCGGATCAATCCGACGACAAGCCTCTGCTTGCTGGGGAAGAGGAGGCTTTGTTCCTTCTTCGTCTTCTTTGGGGCTGTACGGGCAGTACTGGCCATCCAGCGCTTCCAAAGGGTCGCGGTACCCCGTCAATCACACTGGACCACCATGGACCACCATGGACCACCGAACACCCGCACCCACCTCTCGATCAAGACGATCAGCGCGCGGAGCGAGCCGACATCAGGTCGTTGTTGGCAACACGATCCGTAAACTAAAACAGACACTCCCTTAAAATAAAACACAACAAGAATGTATAAACATACCCTCGGATATAAACTCTGCGAGAAAATAAATCGCCACGTCCTCCAAAATAAACCGCCACGTCCTCCAAAGTATAAAGTCGTGCGGCGTTGAGCAGCAAAAGTGAGAGAGAAGTTACATTTTACAGCATCAAGCCAACTGCAAGCATGGCTCGTGTTTCGTTCGCTCTGTGTGTGTTGGCCCTCGTGGTCGCAACGGCAGCCGCTACCCGCCACTGGAACCATGCGGGTCAGGCTTACAAGGTGAGAACAAGATGGCAGTGGCGTGCATTTGTGGAGCGTTGGCGGAGGGAGGCTGGGGAGGGGGTGCGCCTCTTGGGATGAGGGGGTCTGGCTTTGGAGGTACTTTTTGGAGGAGGGGGGCTTTTCCATGTGAAGCCCCCTATCTATCTGTGTGTGTGTGGGGGGGTCCGCGTACCTGTCCGTGTCTGCGCCTGCGTTCTTCTCGCAATGGTCGGGTGGATCAGAGTGGTGCAGAGCGCTTGCTCGGTCGCCAATGACGCTCGAAGGACGTGTTCTCCTTGCTTGTGATTGATTGGCCAGGGAAAACAACATCTCATCGTTGGTGCCTTTGTGCGTGTGTGGCATCCTGGCTTTAGGGTGACCTCATCGGCAACGATGTGACGGGTCTCTGCGGTGAAGCCAACTCCACCTCGGGCTATTTCAACATTGAGGGTGGCAAGTACGTCATCACTGTCTGATTGGTCCCAGTCACCAGAACGCTTGCTCGGCCCCACCCCATAAATGACCAACCTGGTGTTTTTTTTCCCCCACTCACTCACAGGAACAAGAACTATTTCTTTTGGTACTTCCAGTCGCGCAACGATCCCTCCACTGATCCCGTTATCCTTTGGATGACTGGTAGGCCTTGTTCTCCTTCCATGACTTGGCCCGTTGTTTTTTTGTTTTTGTTTTTTCCCCATGCGTCTTTGGGCCAAGCCCTGCCCAACCCAGGATGTGACATCAACCTAATCGTGTTCTTGTTTTGCGCCATGATCTAGGTGGCCCCGGCTGCAGCAGTGAGCTTGCCATGCTTTTTGAGAACGTAAGACGCCCACCCGCACCCCGTCGACTACTCAGCCAATTGCTGAATCTTGTCCAACTCTTCCGCTTTGAAAGTCTGGTGTCGGCCTCAGCTATCGTCTTTTCTTTCTCATCTTTTGCTAACTTGTCCTGGCTCCCCATCCCACTCCCAATAGGGCCCTTGCTCCGCCAACGCCGATGGCAAGACGACCACCAACAACCCTTATTCTTGGAACACCAAGGCTAACCTTGTCTACATCGATCAGCCCGTCGGCGTCGGCTTCAGCTATGGTGATGCCTCGGACGCGGATCACAACGAATCCATGGTGGCCGAAGACATGTACCACTTCCTCCACGAGTTCTACGAGGCCTTCGACCTGGGTGACCGCCCCCTGTACATCTTTGGCGAGTCTTATGGTGGCCACTATGCCCCGGCCACCGCCTACCGTGTCGGCAAGGTGCGGCGACCTGGCTCGTCTATCTTGTGAGCAAAGATGAATGGGAAACTACATGCCTGCTCACGTGTTTGGCGGCTCTCTCTTTTTCTATAGTCCCTCAACCTTCAGGGCCTTGCCGTTGGCAATGGTCTCACTGATCCCCTGGTCCAGTACGAGTACTACCCCGACATGGGCTACACCTTTGCTCAGCAGGTTTGCGTCTTCCATGGTCGCCTTTCGCTTTTGCTCTGTGTGTGTGTGTGTGTGTGTGTGTGTGTGTGTGTGTGTGTGTGTGTGTGTGTGTGTGTGTGTGTGTGTGTGTGTGTGTGTGTGTGTGTGTGTGTGTGTGTGTGTGTGTGTCTATGTTCACTGTTACAGCACTTGCTGGGGGCACGTACCTTTTCTCACCGTTGCTTTGACATTCTGATCAGAAACTGGGCAAGCCTGTCCTTACCAAGGTTCAGTACGACATCATGAAGGCTGGTTGGCCCACGTGCCAGAAGATGATTCAGGAGTGCCAGAACAAGGTGTCCTCCTGCGCTAGCGCTCAAGCTTTCTGCAACGAGCTCATGATTGCTCCCTATGAAGCCCACGGCATGAACCCCTATGACATTCGCAAGCCCTGCGGCGTACGTTCCATCCCATTCATCTCTGTCACCTTCTCCCAACGACATGTATCAAGGATGTACACTCAAAAGCACAGGCACAATACACACGAACAGCTGGCCCATGTCTCACCTCTGCTTGCGGAATTATCATAACCTCGCAGTCCAACCCCCTCTGCTACGATATGTCCAACGTGACCAAGTTCCTCGCCAACCCTGACGTTCTGTCTGCCATCGGTGTCAAGGACATCACTTGGCAATCGTGCAACTACACTGGTGCGATTTCTTGCTGCTTGGGAACGAGTGGCCAACCTTTTTATTTTTATTTTATTTTACTTATTAATTTTTTTATTTATGCCATGTTTCGTGGCAACAGCTCATCCTTGTCTCTTGCACTCGAATCGGCTGTCCGTGCGCGCGTCTCTGTGTGATAGTCAACGCTGCCTTCTCCGATGACTGGATGCGCGATTTCCAGACTAAGGTGTCGGGTCTCCTCGCCAACAACACTCGCGTCCTGATCTATGCCGGTGATGTTGACTTTATCTGCAACTGGATCGGCAACAAGCACGTACGTGTCAATGTCATCAATACCTGCTGCGGCGTCTGCTTTTGACCTGGCAATATTTGCTTGCGCCTTGGAATTTTTTTTCTCATATGGTATATCATCTGATGTCCCACCTTTTTTTCTTCATTGTTTGACTTTGCAGTGGACTCTGGCGCTGGACTGGGCTGGCAATGCCGCCTACAACAACGCCACGGACGCTGGCTGGAACGTGAACAGCCAGGAGGCTGGTTTGCTCCGCACTGCTCAGGGCTTTTCTTTCCTGCAGATTTACAACGCTGGCCATATGGTTCCCCACGACCAGCCTGCCGTGGCTCTCGAGATGGTGAACCAATTCCTCAGCAACTCACTCTAAACGAGCGACCATCCATTTCACCTCGCAAGCTGTGACATCGCAAATTGCTTCAGATCTGCGGCGGCACATGTCAAGAATCTACGGGCCCTGATGAGAAGATTTCTGCATTGTCTACACTTGTCAGTCAACTCGAAAATTGATTCAAGCGAATTGATTGATTCTTCTCGTAAATTTTATTTGCGCATCGCCAGCGCGGTTGCCATGAGAGTGGTGTTGGGCAGCAACTACCCTGCTGATGAAACAAACGAGAACAATATTATTTTGATTGTTTTTTTTTCTGTTGCCTACTCAACTCGCGGCAAAGGGAAGGGCAAGAAAAACCACCAAATCTCCCATCTTTCGGTAAAGTCAAATCAATTAGATGATCAACATGGGCCACGCGCCTACCAGCTGGAGTATACTATACATTTGCAAAAAACATCAAAGGGCTGTGATAAGGGGAAATACGGCTTCAAATCCTGGTCACATTCAGGTCCTCGCCAACCCGCAGCATCGGCGACGGCGTGACAGGCGGCGAAATGCTGCTATTTTGAGAGTTCCGCGATGGGGCTCCCGAAGCTTGGCCCTGGGGATCAAAACGCCGCTGATGTTCAAAATAGTGGCCACGATCTGTCACTTCGCACACCGGCGTCAGGGTGGAAACTCGACGACGACGACGCCGATCATGAAAGTCTGCCTCGCCGTCAGGCAGATCTTCTTCCTCGAGTACCAGCTTGCTGTGGGCATGCAAGTTGTGCTTGAGCTCCATATAAATTCCGTCACCACGAGTCACAGAGCGAACGGAGGTTGCGCGGCTTGCGTCTGACAAAGCAGGATAGTCGGCGCTGGCACTTTCAAAGTCGAGATGGCTGCGAGGGTTCTGTCGAGGTCGTCGGCGTGTGCCAGCAGCGAGCTCCACGTATTCGGCACTGCTGTGCACGTCGGGACCCAGGCGCTGGTGGGACCACTCGTTTGCCAAGCGATGATTTGAACCCAGCGATCCGGCAAAAGGCGGCGCCAAAGACTGCATGCGGGAGAGGTCTGAGGCGGCACCCACATCTTCTGACTGAGAGCCAATTGCCGAGTCCATGCGGTGCGAGCGCTTGCGCTGAGCCTCAAAGGCAGGGGTTCGTGTGGCCAACATTGCGTTAGGAGGCACGGTTGAGCTTCGTTGCAATGACCCATCAGCCTGATCATGGGCACTGCTAGCGGATGTTGTACGACCAGGCAAGAGGCGTGTCTGCGAAGTGTTCAGAACCTCCTCGTCTGCATTGGTGATGGCCACGGTGACGTGCGGGTCCCTACACGGTTGTCAATGCCGTAAGACAGAAGGCCATGCTCCAACAAGACAGCGCATACACGACAAGCACGGGTCTTAAGAACCCCAAATGCCCATGGCAAGCACAAACGTACCTGGAGGGAGCGGGTGCTGCTCGATGGCTGCGACGAGGACGTAAAGAAGAGGTCAACAAGCGTCGCAAAAACTGCCCCGTGCCTGTACCATGGCCTGCGGGAGTTGATGCAGCTCGTCCCAACGGTGACGGTGCGGGAATCACATCGTCCAACTCCTCGGGATGCTGAGCACTGCGACTGCCTGCTCAACGTTACACATGGCCCAGGGGTAGGGGGAGGCGAGTATGGAAAGTTGAGCTGACAGGAAAAAAAAAAAAAAGCAAAAAACAAAAACAAACACCAAAACGAACACAAGAACAAGAACAAAACAAGCACATCAGTTCCAGCGCGACAGACGTACTGAGGTGACGGACAAAGCCTTGGCCCGCGGTTCCCTTCTGAAGACAGTCAATAACTGCTCCAATGTCAGGATTGCCCTGTGTTTCAGCCACCATCATGAATGCAAGTCACAGGCAATGCACGCTGTGTTAGGCCTGGTATCGAGCCTTCAAAACGGACAGACCTGGGCAGCGGTGGAGGAGCGAGATAATGCCCGCTGGGCCTCCAACTGCTCGTCTTGCTCCGCTTGCCGGCACAAGTCCGGCATGTTGCAAGCACGCATCTCCGCAAGAAAGCCTGTACCAAGTACATACGATACACGTGCATGTGAGCATTGACAGACCCGCGCCTTCACATACCACAAAAATGACTTTTAGAAAAAACAAAACAAAACCGACGAGCAACTTCGGCCCAACACCGTTGCGCTTTCTATACAACTTCAGCTACGCGGTCGAGCGCGATAGCAAAAGAAAGCATCCAAAACATTCATCGGATAGCCTCGACTTACGCTCCATGTCCGCATCTGCCATGGTCGAGTCATTCATGGGCGAATTTGCCTCCACACCATTTGATGCCGCTTCAAGGTCTGTTTCTTGTACATTGATGCCGGCAGGCACTGCTGACTCACTCGCAGTCGCATTCGGCGCGGTATCATCCTCGTCGGGCCGGCTCGGCAAAGGCTGGCGGCTGCGAGGTATGGTGATGGGAGCTGCTCCTTGCCATGCCGACACTCGCGTGCAATGGGGTGACGCCAACTCGTGCATGCGACGCAACACACTTGCGTCGGCCTCATCTGCAGCCGTGCTCACGGGGGTCGATGGGCTCACTGTATTGCCGGGAACGGGCAGGTGGCCGGTGACATCTGCATGAGCGGACGCTGCATTGTCATTGCGCACAACGTTGCGCACGCTACAGAAGCGGCCCCGACTGCCACCATACTCGGCCATGATGGTGTCAACGTCTGCGAGAAGCATCTCCAGAGCTGCTACGAGGTCATCGATGCCCAAGCGTTTGCGGTAATCCGTGGCCCAGCATTTCTGCATGAGATTGTAGAGAGGCGCTGGGCAGTCAGCGGGGCATGCCAGGTGTTGAGAGTCGCGGATCTGAGTCCACACCCCGCGTGCCGAATGGTCGCTGTAGGGGGTGCGGCCGTTCTCCAACAACTCCCACAGGGTCACGCCCCAGGCATAAACCTCTGATTTTTCGCTAAAGCGATGTTGAACATAGATTTCGGGAGAGGCCCAGCGGCAAGCCACCTTGCAGTTTGGAATGGTGATACTGTCCTGCCCATCAGGGATGCGCTTGGCCATGCCAAAATCAGAGATCTACCCATGTAACCACATGCACCAGATGTTAGCACGTGTGGCGTGGAGTGAGATCGAGGCGAGCGCGTGTCCACGGATAAACACGAAAAAACACAGTGGCGCCCGATCAAACATACGCGGGCTTTGTAGGATAGAGTGAGAAGAATGTTGCGTAGGCTGATGTCACGATGGACCACGCGGCGGCTCAGGATATATTGCAATCCACGCGCCACATCGCGGGCAAAGACAAGCTTGGAGGTTAGTCTTAAACGCAAGGCCTGTGGCCAATCCAGAACAAAATTGCGCAAATCACCGCGCTCCGCAAATGCGGACAGCAGCATGGGTTGTTCGCTTTTTAGACACACACCCACCATCTAGATATTTGAGAAAAAAAAAAAAATCGATCAAAACAAAACCGGAAAACAAAATCAAAGTCATGGTCGAACAGGCGTGAAGGATGACAGACAAGTAGTAAAAATCCCACAGAGCAGCCAAGGCACAGGCATGGGGGTAGCCTTACCTGCGCGACATATTCACATTGGCAAATGGAAAGCATTACACATTCATTCAAAAAGTCGTCCATCTGCTGCTGTGCGTTGCCAGCAGGGTCGCGATCGGGGACCTTGGCAGCCACAAGGTAGGCTCTGTACGGTGGCTGAGTGAACTTGGCCTCATAGACGGTGCCAAATGCACCACTGCCCAGTGTGGCTGCCCAGTCGATGTCAATCCAATGAGGGGGCAACTCAATGATATGTTTCAGCTCGTCATCATCCGCGACCATATTTTGAACCAAAGCCCGACGCAACATGTTGGATTGGGCAGTAGTGGCGACGTTGTTATTGGTCTGGGCTTGTTCGGGCATGTCTTTGGTGGGTTGCCGACGGTGGAGGTACACTGCCAAGATTGATGCCGTGACAAGAAAGCAAATGCCAAGAACCACCGCAGCAACGGTAGCTGATGTTTGACCACGTTTGTCGGCGCGGCCTGCGACAGTTGTTTGATTGGAGCTTTCAAAATGGACACTGTATGGGGTTCGTTTTGTCATCATCAAAGCGACCAGCGACGCCTTGCCAGTCTCTGTCCACTATTGGTGTGTGAAACGCCAGACATCAAAACCAACCAAGCAAACAAAAAAGCAAGATTAGTCAGTGACATGATCAAAAAGGGCCAAGGGAATCGTTGCGTGAAAGCCACGCGATTGACCACACTCGCGAGGCACAGCAACAAGGTGCAAGACCAACCTCAAGTTCAGACGATTCATTGGTGAGTGTAAAATGACCGCCCAGAGCTGCCTGATCTCCCTGAAGCAGCATGAGATCCATGTATTCTGGCAGCGACCAGCCGCGCCGACTGCTTGCGCGGCGCACCAGCGCAGTGTAGCTGCCTGCAGATTGATCCGTGATACCAATGTGACCAGCAACTGCAGCAATAGCCGAGGCGTCAGGTAGCTCGCCAATGGCAACCTGCAGTCCGACGATGGTGTCGTACAGCAAGCCCACTAAAGGATGGATGTGGGAGGCCCTCGGGGCAAGGCTGAAAGGACCGACGGATAGGCTGTTCATTAGTTTGCCGCGAATGGCAATGCCCATGCTTGTTTGTAGCTGGCGAGGCATGGGCAGATCGAGTGCGATGAGGTTTCGCAGCAAGCCATGTGCACATAGGCCTTCCATCTCAAGGTGGATGACGCGAAGCGCATGGAGAGTGGTGCGATCCACTACAACAAGCCAAGTTTCGCTGAAGAAAATGGAGAGGTTGAGTTGCAGGATACGACGGCACGCGTCAAGGTCGCAATGGAGGATCAGGGTGCGGCTGGTGGCATTTTCAATCACGGCGTCAAAGACGGCTGTCATGCCAGATGGATCCACTAGAGCAAAGAGAGCGGGTACAGGCATTGGCAAGTGAGGCGAGGGACAATTCGCGATGGAGAAAGGGGCCACCGACGAGAGAAGCTGGATGTCAGGATTGAGCGGTATACGCACGGCTATTGAGGGTGTGGGCGGCTTCAACGTGGGTGTTGGTGCTGGCAAGGGCGGCGCACTGATGCATCAGATGGGTGGCCGACGAGGAAAGGAGGGTGACGCGCGACCATTGAAGTTGAGAGATGACGGTGGCCGTGGCTTCGTAATCACGCGCAGCGATGGGGCTGGGGTCGGGGAGGGTGCCTGCCATGACATAATCTCCGCTGCCCGTGGCATCCAAGAAGGCGAGGGCACCGGTGTGGTTGAGCAGCTGCCGTTCAAGGGCTTGGAGGCAGGGCTGGTTTGCGAGGGCAATAATGTGGGCGTGCGAGGGACTGTCCAAGAGGTCACGCGTGGGAGCGCTGAGGTTGAGGCAATCCTGGAAGGAAACGCCAACGATGTGAACGGGCAGAGATGGGATGCTGAGATTTTCAGCGACGCTCGTCCATGTGCTGACAAAGGTTGAGATGTGGGTCCAAGGCAGAGCCTGGACGTCGGTTTGGGCAAGCACGATGATGCGTGGTTGAGCTGGTGCAAGAGTGACGGCCTGAACAACGGTTTCAGCCAGTTGGGCAACATTGATGGCGGCGTCGGGCCAATCTGGGTTGCCATTGGGCAGCACAAAATAGAGAGGAGGCTGCGAGGAATCGATGATTCCACCGTGAAGGGTTGAGTTGTGACGAAAAGGCTTTTCAAGGAGGGAGGCAATGCCGTTGTGACGGCAAGTGTCGTTTTGCGCGGCGGCGATCAAGAGGCGACTCGTGTCGTGCAGAATTAAAGTCGAAAGGGGCCAAGAAGGCACGTTCGCAGGGTCAAGCTGACACAGAGGTGAGCTGGGCTGTGGGCCGGTGCAGTAAGTAGCTTGCGTCTCCACCAAAGCGGCTCGTGCACGCGGGACGAGCACAGAAGCGCGGCGAAGACCAAAAATGCGGAGGGTTCGGGCTTGCACGGTGGCGCTGAGGTTGGCCGAGAGCTGGGCATGGTCTTGAAAAGAGTACAAGGTAACCAAGGAGCTGAGGACGTCAGAGTAGGGACAGGGGTTGGATGAGGGGGTCGCGGCACGAACGGGGGCAGAATTGGCACAAGAAAAATGCCCAACAAACAGGATGACTCGTTGGGTGAAGCAATCTCACGTACCGGCGAGCATCGAGAGCACTGAGGAGAGTATCCATGGCATCCAAGAGTGCGGTGTGACGAGGGTCGACCACCAAAAGGCCACCTTGCCGAGTGGGCCAGCGGGGGTCAGAGGTGAGGATTTTGGGGTGTTGTGACGTGGGGACGAACATGCGAATGTCGCAAGTGGCGGCCGGGCCCAGAACGTCGGTGCAGCGGTCGTTGAGGAGGGTAAAGAGATAATGTGTACGGCGAAAGACCGAGGGCTCCAGCTGGATGAGGAGGAGGGGGAGGCGTGTTTTGCTATGCAGGTGTAGGAGGGCGTCGGCCATGCGGGGAAGGTCGGCGACAAGCAGGGAAGGAAGGGGAACTTGTGTGGCCTGCAGTGTGCTCAGGACGTTCCAGGCTGGGGAGGCAGAGAAGTGGGTGGGGGCGGTTTTTCGAGCTGAGCCATCTGCAGGGCCCAGAACATCGTTGGGGCTGCAGGAGATGGGGATGGCATTGTCGAGGCTACTGTTGATGGATGCTTGGACAAAGTGAAAGGGAGCGGCTCCCTCCAACCCGGTGATTCTTGGGATCTACGTATTTGGAAAAAAAAAAAAAAATGAGAAAGGGGGACGGAGAGCCGGCAAGAAGTGGGCAGGGAAGGGATTGAAAAGGGGAGACCGAGAGAAAAATCCGCGTCTATGCGTGGATCTCACCTGGGTGGTGGGGTCCAAGGTCATGATCAGGGGCAGGCCTTGTTCGCGATGGGCATCGGCGTCGGCAGCAGCGTAGCGCAGGCTGACATCATCACGATCATCTGGGTCATGGTTGAGGAGGTTGGGAGAAGCGAAACAAGACGCGGTGGGCCGGACAAGAATTGGGCAGACGACGCTGATGTTGAGGCTCAAGAGGTCGGTGGCGGCGACGGGGTGAAGAAGGTGGCTGGCCGCGAACAGGACCAGGACGAGAGCCCAAACAGACGGAAGGCGTTGGTTGAAACAAGAGTGGCGGGTGCGAGGAGCGCTCGTCGAGTCGAGCGCCGGTGCCA